TTGCAGAACTTTGTGGGCATGTTTACGCAAAAAAAGTGGCTGAACTGAACTGTGCTTTCATCATTTTGCCTAAACTGCAGAGCAGCTGACATAGACTGTTAAAATACTGCTGTCTTTACAACAGTTAAGCTGATTATGATAGTCAAATACTGTATATTTTATAAAGATAGTCAAAGAACTCGTGAAAATACACCTTAAGGGTGGGTGTGTTGATCTTAGTATCGATACCAAAATAAATACCAGCATCAGATCGATACGGGCATTATGAAATTGATAGTTTGGTTTACTTATTTAATTTTTTCACAAATACAGCCAGTACTGCAGAGTCTGACAGTTTGGAGTTATTGGTCAAACTCTTTGTCATGCCCACGTGCAATAAAAGGTCTTTTTATTATGTTGTTATATTTGTTATTTTTTGTTTGTTTTGTTGCATTATAGGGACATTTTTCTTAAACTATTGTGTGTAGAAGGTAATAAGGGGATTGTTTTACTATTTTTATACTGTTACATTGTTTTATATTAGTTAAAACAATTATTATTATTGCCTAAAAGCATTGGCAAGTGTTTTGGCATGATCTAAAGGCAAAATCACAAAATATAAATGAATCTGTGTTTGCATCAGTGGCGATTCTAGTCCTGTAATTACTTGGAATCAGATCAATACCAAATTTCACCTAAACTGTGCACAGCACAAACCACTGTTGGTGATTTCACATTACATTGTTATTCCTGCCACATGAGTTTTTGCATGCATATGTGAAAGTTGGGACAAACGTGCACCATCTGTCAGAAACACTGGTCTCTTTGTGACAAATTTGCAAAAAAAAACTCTGTTAACAACAGAAACACCAGCGCTTCCTCCAATACATCAACTGAAAATAAACATGCCAACTGTGTTGTCAGTGGAAGAACAGTGGGAGGCCTTAAAGTTTATTATAGAGTATCAAATGTCCATACATGAGTTGTTTCAAGAGTGCAACAACTGAAGCCGCTCAAAGAGCTGCTGAAAACAAGATGTTAATAGTTTAGTACCTTTCCTCACACTCTTACTTCGAAAGATTTGAACTGTCCCTTTAAGTGTTTTCAATTCACAATTACCAGTTCTAAACCGGATTTGCATCTCAGCAGTGAAAGCTGCCAAAGAAAATTATGGGTTAACCAAGTAATAATTATCAAAGGTTAAAATAATGAATACTTGACACGTAGGAGGGTGGCTCAAAGTCAAGTTAAAGTTTATTAAAGGTTGTTATTTAGTGATTTCAGAACAATGATGTGGAAAAAAGGGGACACACACACACACACACACACACACACACACACACACACACACACACACACATAACAGAGGCTGTTGTTCTATACAGTTAACAAGAGTCATCTGGCCTAGCCTAAATATGGAATTTATATTTACAGAAAACACAGCAAATCAAAAAAAACTCTCTTTCTTTTTCTTTCTTTCTTTCTTTCTTTCTTTCTTTCTTTCTTTCTTTCTTTCTTTCTTTCTTTCTTTCTTTCTTTCTTTCTTTCTTTCTTTCGATTGTGTGAACTATGTCATGTTTTCAGATGTACATTTCTTAAATATAAAATTCCTCTGGAGTCGCGTTGTCCTCATGATGCAATCTTGTGCACTGCTACTGTGATGGTCCCATGGCTCCTCACCAGAATATTTCTACCAAACAATCAAAAATAAAAACAGGGTCGCTAAGACAGACATCACCCTGAGAAGCAATAGTTTAACCAATGCACAGGAATCATTTCAAAGTCACAAGCAGAGACATGTTTTTTTTTTTGTAGATCCACCTCTCAGTCTTTCACCTCCACTGTGATGACACACTATTTGGTAATGCACAAATAATCAATTGTACAGCTCTGTGTACATTTATCTTGCATCATGTATTAACATAAAGTTTACAATTAACTCTGAAAATTACAATTTATTTTAAAGTTAAATAATCTGCCACAAATCTGATGAATATATACAGAGTCTGTGCCAAAATGTAAACCACCTCATACTTTATGTTTTGCTTTCAAACACCCAGACTGCCTTGTAATTGTTTAAATTAGTCTTGGTCAAATATTAATTGTTTTTCTTTCTTTCTTTTTTTTATAGTACCTAACCCTGACAGTATACAGAGGAAAATGGACAAGTAGAAGACAAAGAAAAGTATCTGAAAGTAACATATTTAAGAACTGGACCAGATGCTAAACCCTGTTGATACAAATTGTCATTTTATTAATAATGAAAAAGTCAAAAGCAAAAAAATACAAACTCATCCACAGCTTAAGGTTTAATGATTTGAAGTACTTTGGAACGTTTAAACTAGTGATTCTGGTCTATTGGACAATGCTTTAAAAGACCATAAGATGGCAGTATAGTCATGAATATAAAATTCTACAGTAGTGATTAAAAATAAGTTTATACATCTAGTTGCCTCTAGGAGAGAGGTGTTCAACACCCCTGGGTGGACTGTCAGTCCTATGGGAAGCCAGACAGCCAAGCAAACTCACAGGAACAGACAAACGTAAAATCACAAATTACCATCTCATGCATTTTTTAGTATGTGGACAGAAAAATCAAATATAAAGACTCATAATGAGATTGAAGCAGGACATGGGGCCGCTGAACCCCACGTGTCATCCAAGGCACACAACCTGGAGGCCAAATCTGTGGTTTTGGATTTCTCTCAACAACTTTCTATAGAATTATTGATCTCCCCACAAATTAATCAAAGCCACCAAGGGCACGCCTAAGTCAGACTGAAAAGGGAAACCTGTCAGTGCTCACCCTGACTCGGACTCCAGGCACACTGTCGGAGTGTCTGTTGGGTCTTTGACGAGAGCTGCAGCTTGTTTGGCCAAAACTGACACAACTCCACCGTGTTCATCAGTCAATGACCCGCGGCCTGCAAATCAAAGCACACACACTATCTACTGAACTGGGCAAACAAAGAAAATGTCAGCAGTCAAAATAACATGTTTCAACTTTAAAAACACATTTTTGATACAGGGGATATTATTGTTTTTACTGTAGTCATCCCCCCTCCCCCTCCCCATTAATCATCAACATTTATAACTAAAATGCTTGGAATTTACATTGTTTGTCCTCTTTATTAGCCCTGAAGATATAAAAAGCTAATAAAAGGTCTGAGGATGTTAGCATTCAACTTTAATTTCTCTTAAAATAATGGCACATAATTAATAATCCTGTGTTTTAGTTGTTTATTGAGGGGAAACAGTCATTTGCTCTGACTGACCTTGTTATCTGATAGTAAATGAAACTCATGATCACATATTTTTTTCTGCAAGTTGCAGAGCATTTAGCTTAACTGCATTATGCATTTGTTTTTGAATGATACCAAGCAAGAAACAATTGTGGTTATAATTAATTTTACTCTACTTGTGACACACTAATTGGCAGTTAAGAGATTACGCAGTATTAGTTTTCATTTGAAATTAGCCTTTGTGATGACATCTGAATTACAGCGATTTCCTGTTGATCTGTAATATTCTCAGAGGAGCCCATCCCAGCAGAGTCTAATCTCATCCTTCTCACTGTGTAAATAAATACTCATACTGTGCATGCTTTACAAGTTATAAATAAGATTAGTTCAGGTTAAACAATGCCATATTTTAGCTTCTTTTATCTTGTGTAACAACTTACAGAAGCTTACTGAAGTTTAATGCATTAAAAAACTATGTTTAATATACTGCATGAAACCATTAAAACTGGGAGGTGAATGCTTGTTAAAAACCTGCTATGGTTGAAACTGGACGAGTTGTATGAGTTTACTGAGCATCTCTCCTCTTATGGGTTATTATTGTTGCTATTTGTAGTTAGGAAGCTGCAAGTTTCAGAATAAATACAGCAAACATCCTCATACTGTAAAAACTGAATTTTAATGTAATACCACAATGATTTGCTAACATTAATTTTTAGCAAACTGTCAGTTTTACAGCTAAACATTCAAGCTTTATGGATGATTTGACCATCGTTTTAAACACAGACGCTACCTCGTAACAGCTAAGTTTAGAGTGAATTATCATTTAAATATTTGAATTTAATTTCATTAAACAATCTCTTACAGCCCAGATTGTGTCCCTGTTGATCCGTGCAGAGCACCCCGACAACTGCTGGTTTCTTCATGCTGCCGAAAACACAGAAGGTGACAAAAATCGTTTTTTGTTGCCACAAAAAGTGAAATGTACGCGCAGTTCCAGACAGGTTTTAACTTACGTGTCGTCAAGATGTTGTTCAAGAGTCGACTCCATCGTTAAAAAATGATAAGGAAAGGAAAAATCAAATTTACTGTACGAAAATCAGCTTTGTTGTTTTCCGGGTGGAGTCAGCTGACCGTCACGTGCACTATGAGTCCCGAAGAGGACCAAAAATTACGAAACGCGAAAAACTGGCTGCGTCTGGCTGAGAGAGAGAGAGAGAGAGAGAGAGAGAGAGAGAGNGAGAGAGAGAGAGAGAGAGAGAGAGAGAGAGAGAGAGAGAGAGAGAGAGAGAGAGATTTGAAATATTGAAGGTACATGTGCTATGTACTTTACGTGTTTTATTACGATATATTTGTTTGATAGGAGGCAGGTACGCTTCCTGCAATCCAGAAGAAGTAAAGAAAATGGAATGATAAATCCCAGCTACCCTGTGTGGTATTTTACCTAAGGAGAGGAAGTGACTGAAAATAAGCCCAATGTTCAATTTATTGCTCAACTTAGACGTGTTGAATAAAGTTACTGTGTTTTTATCAGCCTCCTTTTACACTAGATACCTTTCCTGACCCAAGCTGGGTTCGAACAAACACTTTGTCCCTATAATAATTCTTTACAATTTGCTAACTCATTCTTTCTGTTTTAGGCCTACTTTATCTTTAGCATCAGATTAACTTTTATATTTCCACCGAAACATCTCCTCTGGGATTTTAAACTTGTCCATTTATCCATTTTTATTTACCTTCACAGACCATGACCAGCCTGATGTACAGTTGGGGTTTTGGCAGATTCTGTTGAGTTTTTCATTTACGTTGAGTGCGGACCCTCATTTTAAAATTACATTCAAAATATCCAAAAACTATTCAAGCTAAACTGCATTTAGCTCAGGATGTTTTATGTTTGATTTCATACTTTGCAAAGCAGCTTTAATCTTGTCCAAGTATCCAGTGTGCTTGTTTTTTTTAACACAAAATATGTGTTGCTTTAAATGAGTAAACTTGTCCCTTGCAGTCTTTTGTCGATAAACCATCTTAAAGTCATTTCCTCTGAAGTTAGTTTGATACATATGCGCTCCCTGTCCTGTCTGATTTCTGCTGCCTGTTCCAAGACGCTGAGGCTTTAGTGCTGTTGCTGACTGGGCAGAACTGGGTGAATATAATTATGTGACCGCAGCATTGGGGGGGAGAGGATCCATCACTGGTGCACCAGCAGGGTAAAGTCCTGCTGACTAGCCTATGGGCTGCTCTCCCCCTTCTTTCCCTCTAATTCTTCTCTCTTTGCCTCCCCTCTTCTCTTCCTCATATTTCTCCTTGTGTATCCTAAATCACTGGCTGCCTGCGTCTACCGACAGCCAGCTGCTCATCACTGTCCCAGCATGCACGTAGGCAAAGATACGTCAAGTTTGCGTATGCAGAATGATTTCCTATAGCTATTACGCAACATTGTCTTTTATGGTTACACATATACTTGTATGTGTGTATTTTCATGGCATTACACACACATATGCAAGAAAACTTTAGTGTTTTGGAAAGAATATTGGATCACTTAAGAACCAGAGTGGATCTGCAAACGAGCTCTGGGTCGGTGTTAATTTATCATCACCCTGCTTACTGTCTCCATGAACATCAAGAGTAATTTTTCTTATTTTAATGTTCATTTAGTGACGTTTTAGCTTCATAAGCAATTTCGAGAAGCTATAAGCACAAATTCCACCAGGTTGAAACATTCCTTTAAATAAAAAAAACATTGACAAGTAGGTTGCACTCAAAACTGATGTAATAATGAAAAATGCTTTGTGCTACGTCAGTGTGGACTAATTAGTGACACAGCTTAAGTTGATGCGACAGTCCATGGGATCATAAACAAAATAACTGAGAAACATCACCTGCTTGTTAGATGAACCGTGCAGTCTTGTTGGATCCATGCAGTTTATTTCAATAATTAAGTACATTTTATTTGTGTAGCACTTTTCACAGATATAGATCACAAAGTGCTTCACCTGGAGCAAAACTACCTATAAAATAAATGCAAATTTGAGTATAAAAACATACAATAAAACAAGTTAATGCAACTCTTAAACATTAAGTAGCTAATACATTTAGCTAAAAGTTTGTGTTTTAAGCTGCTTCTTAAAGAAGTCATCAGAGTCAGGGGCAGGACGTTCCATAATCTAATAATTATAAGAACAAGCTGGTTATGAAAATCAAAAAGAAAAAATAAGTAGGTCCTCTGGATGGGTTCTTCTTCAGTGAAACATTTCATCTCTCCTCCAAGAGACTTCTTCAGTCTGATGAGTTTCAGGTGAACTCAGCCTTATAAGCACTGCCTCCACATGGACAAACAGGTTAGTCACATGCAAAAGAGGGCCATTGCCTAACAATAACACGACACCTAAGAACCACGGCATCCAAACCGATCAGTCAGGTGATGGGGCACATGACCCTGTATGAACACTAGAGCTAATCAAGCCTATTGTTAAGCGATGGCCTCATTTGCACGTGACTAACCTGTTTGTCCATGTGGAGGCAGTGCTTATAAGGCTGAGTTTCACCTGAAACTCTCAGACTGAAGAAGTCTCTTGGAGGAGAGATGAAACATTTCACTAAAGAAGAACCCATCCAGAGGACCTACTTATTTTTTCTTTTTGATTTTTTCTACCTGGATTACTGAGATGCATCAGGACATTTTGAACCACTGATTATGAACAGTTTTAAATGTGCTTTGTGCCATTTACTCACAGTAAGGTGGCAGCTTCCATTTTTTTGTTTTCTTTTATAATTGTAAGGAGTAAATAACCGGATGTACAGTATATTGTACTTTTGTAGGTTCTAAACCCATTTTCGTCACTGAAACCGTTTTGAAAAAAACGCATCATTCAACAGGCACCGCTGAAGAGAGCATCCGTCATCAGGAGGAGTAAGATGACAAAGCTTCTTGGTGACCAGCTGAGAGGGCGTGGGGAATATGTCAAACACAAAGAAAGAGGGAGGGGGCAAAATATTGGGTGGCGGTAGCAGGTGGATAAAAAGAGGGGGAGCGAGCACAGCTTCCCTCTTTATCTGAGAAGTTTTGCAAACCTTTATGGGTGTCTGAGGAGCCAGTGTGAGGTGCTGCAGAGTTTGTTTTTTAAAGTACTGAGAGGGTCCAGTTCTGCTGCTGCTGTCATGGACTTCTGGGTGATGCTGCTGTCCTTCCTCCTGGTGTCTCCGAGCTGGTCCAAAGGAGCTGTCATCACAGGGGTGAGTGAAATGTTTCTGCCTATTTTTCCTAATAAGTGAACTTTATAGTAAAATTGCTGTGATGCAAATATGTTAGTTAGTTATTTTTCTATTTGAATGTGTTAAATATGCTTTGATTAAAATAAAGATGAATAAACTCATGAATGATAAAACAACTCATCTAAAATCTGTTCAGTAATTATGCCTGATTACCAGTTATTACCTGATAATAGTGACAAGGGTTGATTAGAATATAATTCAATAACTGAACGTATTTATGTACACACATTTATTTCCATGTGAACGTCTTTACATATGTTCCAAACAGAAGAGTTTGTGCTATCTGGATAATTATGCAGAATTGAATTATGACTGACGACAGACCACATCCTCCTCCGCTTCAGTCTGCTGGAAAAATCCAAAGGAAATTATGTCAGTTTGCTGACTGATATTCTTTTGTAAATGAATTAAGAAGATGTAATTGATCAAGTTCATGATAAGATTCAGATATAATTTAGAATCACAACAGGAATGCATGTGTGTTTGGTTTTCTGCCCTGCAGGCCTGTGAGAGAGATGTGCAGTGTGGCTTTGGTCTTTGCTGCGCCGTGAGTTTATGGCTGAGGGGTCTGAGGATGTGCATCCCGAGAGGCGTGGAAGGGGACGAGTGCCACCCCTTCAGCCACAAGGTGGGTCCAAAATATCGTCGCAGTGATTTTCCAGCATCACAAAGCCCCCTCTGCCTCCTCTTTTTTGATGCCTGCCGTCAGAGATCCTATCAGTGGCTGGCAGGTTTGGCTGAAGTGTTGGAAAAGCTGCTGATAACTGCAGAGGTTATCGATCTTCACACCGAACGAGCCGATTCGAGTCGTTTATCTTTTTGAGCATTTGGACAAGTCAACAGTTTGCTCAGCTTGCATCCAGCCCGGCAATCCACTAAAGAGACCCACAGCTCCACTTGACAGTTCACGAAGCAATAAAAATGTCAAATTAACCTCCTTTCATTATATATTTTTACTGTTTTTTTTTTCTTTTTCAATTCTCCTAGGTGCCATTCGCAGGGAAGCGGCTGCATCACACGTGTCCCTGTCTCCCCCACTTGGTGTGCACCAGGTTTGCTGACAACAAGTACAGATGTACAGAAGATTTCAAAAACATGGACTTTTAATGAAGAAATAAACAGCACATTTCTACGGATGAGGATTTGAACAAGATGTGGATCACAATCACCTCCAACAACTGTATTCTTCATTTATCTACTCTATGCAGTAAAACACATTATAAACATGATACTGATGCACAAAAAATATGACAGCTTAAACTGAGGCAGTGTTAATTAATATCAAGAGCCACATAAGGATTATAAAGACTTCTTGACTTTATAAATCAAACGTATCGACAGGAAGTTTGTGAATTATGCTCACTTTCAGTTAATTTATCAAAGGAGATGTACATAATTATTGTCAATAAAAATATAAAAACATGACTGTGTCTTATTTTTTGTGTTCAGACTCAAAGTCTGGGGGAAATGATAAACTATGATCCTGTGTCAGATGTGAAATCAAAGGAGATGTTTGTTCACAGAAAAACTCTAACTAAACTTTAATGGAAATAATCAAATATGATTGAAATTGAAAGGAGTACATACATGATGTCTTTTTGCAGCATTTTGCAGTGCACAATGAAAGCAAAACACTAGAAATAAAATGACATGTATATTAAAAATTACAGGCACAATGAAATTTTATTAGTACGTCAGCCATTAAGAAGAAATTGAATTAAAACAAATTGAGAGATGAGACAAACCAGGTTGTCACTTTCTTTAAATTCACTATTGCTCTATAAAGAGATGAAGAAACAAATCACAATTTCAGTAATAGCTTTGCTATAATAAGGTACAAGGACTTCTGATTTTTCACAATCATAAGTTCCATGCTTTAAATTATTCAGCAGAGTCAGTGTTTTGAAAATGAATTGCAGAACATTAACTGCAGAGCTATAGATTATATTTCTCCAACTGTGGAATCTCTTCATTGTCTCCCCTTTAAACTGAGAATAAAATTGAAACATATTTATTTTGCTGGGTCTACTGACTGCTGCAGGACCGATGCACTTATTTTACTCTGTAACATTGTCAGAAAGTTTTAATTACTCAGTTTTAGCGGACTGTTTCTGTCTGTCTCTGTCTTGTCCTCAGACAGCTGCAACATTAATCCTGACCTACTGCAAGTGAAGTGCTTTTCAGAAACCAATTAATGACTACCCAGCATTTCAAATTACACAGACATGAACTTCTCCTCATTATTGGTGCACTATTCTCTGCAGATGCTGCATTTCTTGATGATGTCATAAAATGTACAGCTGATGTGATGTGCAGAGAAACATCAAACTTGAGAGAAAAGTCCCTCACCTTCATGATTTTATTCATCCAGTGTGACACTGGCAGCTCTGCAGCTCAGCTGGATTTTTGGCTGGCAGCGTTGCTGAGGTCACCAAAACCTCTGGAACAAAATGTAAAATCTATTTAGACTTCATGGTCCACAGAAGTGAGACTGAGGATGAGAGTCCAGGTGGAGCAGCGTTTCTCAGCTCAACCACGTGTTTGGAATTGGGCAGACACTGGGCCCTCTTTATGTTTTCAGTGCAGACTGACGACAGCTCAGTATCACCCTTCCAGTCCATTACCTCTGACAGTGTAGTGTCTGCCAAAATGATCAAGCAGAAACTAACATCTTGGACATTTTAGATTCAACCAAGCGCAGGAAATGGATGGAAATCATTTCTTGGAAGAGTTGTGTTTTATTTTCCACTACTTGCCCACTGCTTACACTGCATTCTAATATTTACGTATGACTTTTGCTTGTTTATTTTCTCTTAGCAACAGCTAACAGCACTGTGAGTTGGTCTGGTGGTGCTGAAAATAACTAGATCACCTAAATGATCTTGCCCTCAGACACTTAAGACAGAATAAAGAGAATAAGACAATAAAGAAAGACAATAAAGACAATTAGGGGAATAAATGCATCTAAAACCAATAACTCTAAGAGTAACAGGTGATAAATGCATACATTGAATTTCATTTCATCCTATTTCTCCTTTTTGCAGTTGAACATATTCAGTAATAAGAGCAGTTAATATTTTATTTTCAGAATAAAAGTAACTAATCAAATTAACC